TAAAAATATTTAGGGCTTTTAGATTTGGAATTTCAAAATTAGGGCTTTGTTTTGGGATTTTGAATCGTCTGAAAAAATTTAGGGCTTATAGATTTGGAATTTAAAAATTAGGGCTTTTTTAGCCCTAATTTTATACAATGCTGTAATTTTCAAAATTAGGGCTTTTTTAGCCCTAACTACAAGAAGTGTACATATTCTTTTTTCCATCTATAAGTACTTCTGTAATTTTAATAAATTTTAGGATAAATAAATAAATAAATTTATCACGTCCATGTGTAAGTACTTCTATATCATTTCAATTGGAAACTCCCTGATGGAAAGAAGTATGAAGAACTAGACATGGAAGAGGACCTTGGTTTGATTGTGAGAAGAAATAATGATCTGATCTTGATTCCCATTCCTTATGATCAATCCTCTTTCTTCTGTTGAATAAGATCAGAAAGGATATATGGTAGATGCTAATTTTGTATTGTACACAGTACTCTACATGAGAGAATTTTGAAATAATGTCATTGTTTCAAATGAGTGATTGTTTTAACAGATCATATGTATGTGTTTTTTTGATTGGCAGATCATATATATGTATGTTCAACCAATTTATGCTTTTTTATATAGTAGAAGTGTATGAGGAGCTTTAAGTAGATGAAAATCTCTAACTTACCAATAACAAACTCAAAAAAAGCAAAAATTTCATTTTATTAGCCCACATATCAGAACTAAACCAATGCAATAGTTTTATCAAAAGCTAAAGTGTTCAAGACTCATAAAAAAAGAAAAAGAAAAAGAAATTCACAATACACTAGGATCTGTGGAGGAAAAAATCAAAATATTCAGTTTTATTAAGAGTTTTCTCATTATCCACATAGATTTGCTAGCTTAATTAAAGTGTTGGAGTGACTTATTTTTGTAGGATAAAATTACTGCAATGTAAAGGAAAGTGAAGGAAAGTGAGAATCAAAGGCTGTTACAGTGTGTATGCAGATTAGGGCTTTTTTAGCATGAGAGAAGTGTGTTGAAGGAAAGTGAGAATCAAAGGACATTTTGACTTAGGGAATAAGATAGTAGTAAGGAAATATGGGTTCTAGGGTACAATGTAAAGGCTGTTACAGTGTGTATGTAGATTAAGGCTTTTTTAGCTAAATACTCTAAGCTAGATACTTAGAAAACAAAATCCAGAACCGTGTTTAGAATTTAAAGTATATAGTAAAGATTTAAACTTGATATGATAAATCTAATTTACATTGTTTGTATTGTATTGTGTATGCAGATTTAGAAATGGCTTCTTCTTCTACTGACAATAGCAACATCAGATTAAAACCGAGACTCTGCAATTGTGGAAGAACAGCTGCCATACATATTGTAATGGAAATAAAGGACGTTTGTTCTTTGTTTACCCATCAAAATATGTAAGTGTACCTATTGGAAATATTAAATGTGTAAGTAGTGACAATTTAATTTGTGTTATTTGACTAACTAATTGTCATGCATTGTAGACTGAATCTCCCAATTGCAATTACTTCAAGTTCGTGGCTGAAGATGATGAAGATGTTACGTCCACAATCCGTTCCAACACTAGAGCTTCTGATGGTGTTACAGTAGAAGACTTTAACAAGCTGAGGAGGAGGCTGTATGACGTGGAAAATGAACATGATGACTATGGTCGAAGGCTTCGAATGGTGGAAAATATTATGAAGGCGATGGTGTATTTGATTTTATTTTCTTTACTTTTGTACTTTACGATGTAATGTTATTATTGATTTAATGTTATTATGGATTTATGGATTTAATGTTATTATGGATTTAGTGTTATTATGGATTTATGGATTTAATGTTTTTGGCTTTCATGAATATATGCAATCAATTTAGAAGCTATTCATGAATGGAATTTGACGAATGTAGTTATGGATTTAATGATTATAGATGCAATGATTTTAGATGGTATTTATAAATGGAATTTGGGAACTTGGGATCTTTGAGATGTTTGAGATGAATGGTACAGGATTTTGGCTGACTTAGAAGGATAAAATGGAGGTATTGGAGGATTTTGGCTGATTTCAGAGGTTGGGCTGGCCAGAACTTTGGCTGATTTCAAAGGATTTTAGCTGATTATGACACATATAACTGTCATAGACACAGGGAAAACAAATTCATAAGGAAGCACTATATAGCACATTACTTAGTGCTGGGTGCTACTGGTGTTACAGGTGCTGCTGGTTCTGCAAGTGCTTCCTCTGGTTGATGATGCTTGCTGCTACTGGAGTGCTGCTGCTGGTTGATGATGCTTGCTGCTACTGGAGTGCTGCTTGGTAATCTAAGATTGGTGCAATGTTTTGAATATGATCAATTCTAGGGCAGCAACAGTAAAGCAGAGGCAGCAACATTAAATATTTCATCAGGATCATGTACCCTACATGATTCTTCAACAAAATTCTACTCCTCCACTACAGTAGGTAAAACATTAAAGACTTCACTATAGACACAACAAGGGTTGTGAGTATCCCTGAGATCCATTAAGAGAGCATCACCAACCCTGAACAAAATGGCAAATCCATAAGAATGAGGAACTTCAACCACATTATATGCTAGAGATTCAGCATCTTCATACTAAGAAATCATATCAGCAGCATGTAGAACCAGAAGCAGTGTATCTTAACAACCTTTAGGTTCACAAACCTTACAAATATAAGATCAAAATACCTCTGCAGAAGAGAGGGTGGGGTTTGTTCCTTTTTTTTCCTTCACACTTCACAGAATCATGCAGAACCAGAAGCAATGAATACCTTTGCAGAACCATTGCAAAAGCATACCTGTGCATACCAGATAAAATGTACAGCAGAACCATTGCAGAACCATACCTGTGCATACCATACCATTGCAGAACCATACCAGCAGAATGATCAAAATAAGGATCAAAACTGGTATGCTAGTTCTGCATGACATGATTTCAAATGTACAGCATATCATAAGCATACTAGCAGAATCATGTGCATACCTCTGCAAAATCATGCAGAACCAGATAAAATGTATACCATAACAGTTTGCTTTGAACACACATACAAGTTAAATTACAACATTGGTCCATCAAAATTGTTACATTGGTCCATGTAAATTATCACATACAATCCATTAACATTTCAACACACATTCCTCCATATTCAGTATCAGTTTGCTTCAATACAAACAGGGAAAAAGACCAATGTATGACTTTTCAGCAGCAGCAGTTTAATCATCACTTTCCAGCAGCAGTTTGCTTCACAATTTCAGAGGCTATGACTTCACTATCCAGCCCAATTTGAGCATCAGTTTGCTTCTGTTTCTGCTTGTCCATAGCCTAAAAGGGAAAAAGACAAATTTTTGAGCAAGTGAATACATGGTATGACAGAATTTTCAACAACTATAAATTATATAAATTAAAAAGATAGCAAGGACGAACCTGACTACACATTGGAGTAGTTGATTCTTGAGAATATCGAAACCCAATGTCATAGCCATATGAACCTTGAAGTAGTGACTGGAATGTTGATCCAACAGAATACAGTTGAGGCATTGAATTTGCCAAATAATTTGGCACTACATACAAATCCCGCAAATTGTTTGCCTACAACAATGTCATATATTAGGCTTCGAAATCACGGTTTGAATCACATATTATATCCACAAAAAAAATACAATGTTAAAGTAAGACTTACATGATATGTGGGATACATCAATGGCGGAGGAATAGAATTACCACCCATGGACAAAGATGGAGGAAGAGGATGAAGGGGAAAAAGAGGTTGAAGAGGAGGAACATGTTGACGAACATAGATATCTCCTCCAACAGATAATGGAGAAGGTGCAACTGTTGGACTTGCAATAGATTGTGACGAAGCCAAGCTGTTAGCACGGGATTTTTTTTTTGGAGTTCGCTACCAACGCCGCTTCGAATCCACCTTTTACCCTCCTTTTGCCCTTACTAGTTGCCACCTTTTTCTTCAATCCTTTTGGCTGCACAGCATGATTCACGTCTTCGTAATCCACTTCAAAGCTTTGGTTGTCATCATCATTACCTACTTCATTTCCAACACCAAAATGAGCACTTAACTTGCCTTCAACATTTGCACCTAATGTAGCAAGGTGTGCAATACAAAAATCATAAGTTTCTTCAGTTTCAGCAACTCTACTTGCTAGTGCTCTAAATGCGGTCATCAATGTCTTATACCGCGAGGCTTGTTGGAATTTCACATCTACTTGAATGTCATTCCCCTTAATGTCCTTCACAGTTTCGCATTTTGCTTGTTTGGTCCACCTCTTTAGAATGTATTGTGGAGGAACCTTTTTCATCTTCAATATGCCTCTAATAACCTTCAATGAGTGACAACACAAGATTCCTTCTCTTTCAAACTTTGTACAATTACAACCCAAAGAGCCATCCCTCTCCATCTTCACTTTCCTTGCATATTTGTTACCAACATCAACAACTGTGTAAATGGTACTAGCCTCGCCATATTCAATTGCTTCTATGTCCGATTCAATGGATTGAAAGTACTCATTTTGAAATTCCTCAAAGATATTTTTTGTGTAGACATTACCTATTTGAATTAACATTCTTATTGTTGCTTTCACCTTTGGTAACCTTTGGCACAAAACATATCCTGCTTCTAACTCCTTGTATCGCTTCTCGTAAAGTACCCTTTCGAAATGCATGAAGAATTCATTTAAGTTAAAATCAGAACGAATGTAATCCTTCAAAGCATTAAAAGATTCACTAAGTTGTGTGGTACTCATTCCCGCAGTCCATGTTGATCTAACGTAAGGCCAGTCCCATTTTTCTTTCACCGCAAAAGTCAATTTCAACCAATGGTTTTCATGCGCATCATATTTATCAAGCATTTCCGCTCACTCTAACTTCCATTGATTTGCATCTTCAATGTGAAAGAAGAATTTATTTAGTACACCCTTCACCCCCTTATCTTGGAACAAACAGTTAACATGTTTTAATGCATTAATTGCATCAAATGCTAAGTACACAATTGGTGACTTGTGTCAGGCATAACGATGGGTATGGCTTTAGCCATTCCAGCATCTTGATCGATGAACAAAGTTTTTGGTGCCTTTCTTGACCTAACCTCTAGAAAATTTTCAAACAACCATACAAACGATTCGTCGGTCTCATCATACAACAATGCTGCACCAAATATAATTGTTTCCCTATGATGGTTGAATCCCACAAAAGATGCGAAGGGTCTATGTTCTTTGTTTAACTTGTCAGTCGTATCAAATGTGACAACATCACCAAATTGGGCATAATCCATGATCATTTGTGCATCGGCCCAAAACATATTGGTTATTTGCTCCTCATTATCTAATTGAAAAGCATAAAAGAATGAAGGATTCTACAAAGATTTTTCTTTAAAGTATTGCAACACATTGCCTACTTCCCCATATGCTAAACTTTGTTGGCTTTTGGTTCTTAAATAATTTTTAGAATCTAATTTTGTAAACCCAAGACATTGCCTTCCACCAGCTTCCCTACCCATAAGTTCAAAAGACTGGCCTAAACGAAGACCAGATTGTGCTGCCAAATCTAACTGCATTGCTTGGGTAGTCGATATCTTTCTTTGTGACGACAACATGTGGGCACACTTGGGTGATACAAGATCATGATTGTGTTTTTCTTTGAAATCAGTCACAACAAATTTTCCAGTACCCTCATCTAATTTAATATAAAGTCGAGCCTCACAACCAGTCCTAGTTTCAGCTCTAGGGTTTTTTGATAATGGGTCTCGCTTGTCAACCTTTCGAAATCCCTCCTTGTTGCAAACCAGAAGTCTACAAATAAGTTGATTAGTGAACTTGTCCTTCCTACAATAATCCCTTCTTATGCTAAACCTCATTCTTCCTCCATATGTATTATAAAAATCATACGCACATTGTTCAGATTCAAATGTCATTCCCTGTTTTGGCTTCCATTCACAATCATTCTCAGGTTCCGTATCGATATCAAAATGCAACTGAAAACCCATATAAATAAAATCTTATCTACATAAATTACATCTATATTTTACACACAAAAAAAACATAATTTCAGTTTGAAAAAAAAAAAAAAAAAAAACCAGACATAAAAACATAGAGACTAAGTTCAGTTTTAAAAAACTCCACTTCTACATGTATATGTTGGAACTCTGACATATATATTGAAGTCTAATTTTCCACCAGTGTTTAGAATCTGTCACTATATAGTCTAAATAGGCTCTAATGTTGGAAATGAGACCTAACTTGCATTGTGCAAATCCAGTATCTACAGAAACTACTACTCAATAAAGCAGCAAATCTATGTGTCTTCTACTTAAGATGGCCAAGTTTCTACTTAAGATGTAATATCTTTCATCAGTGAAGGCCCATTTACCTACTTAAGATGTAATTTGTTCTACTTGTCTGTCTTCTTGGTGAAGGACAGATTTGATCATTTATTGTATCCAGATATGATCTAATTTGTGATTAACAAAACATGAGGGTTCTGATATGATCTTGGAGAACATTCAATTCTACAGAGGGTTCAGTATGTCCACAATTGCTTCGCATTCACTATGTTTGAAACTGTTAGCTCTTCTTGAGCAATGGAATTTTGCTCAAAGAAAATTGAAAACAGAGGACAAAAGCTGATTTTTTCTTTCAAATGTATGTTGTTTTCAAACAAAATTCATTAAATTCAAACAATTTTAAACTTGTTTCCTAAACCCAATTTGTTTCATGAAATTATGTTTCCAAAAGAAACGATTTTAAAGTTGAAATCATATTTTCATAACAAAAATAGAAAAATGAGTACCGACTTTAAAAATATATCTGAAATTGTTTTTTAGATGCACGAAGTAAAACTTAAAATCGTATTTTAAAAATACAATTTTATAAAACAATCTGAGTTTGAAAAAATAAATTTATATTTATTTTGATTAAAAATTTTGTTTGAAAATCACTTGTAATTTCATAAAGAAAAACTCAGACAAGCGAAGAAAAAATTACATACTTTGATGGGTTCGATTTGAGGAGAAGGGGGTCGCTGTCGGGGTCGCCACAGATAGAATCTGTATCCACAGTGGATCGCCGCCGGTGAGGATGGGTTCTCCGGAGGAGAAGGGGTGAGTGCTGAGTGCTGTGTGAGAGTGAGAGTGAATGTGTCTCTGATATGTGTTTTTGTTTGAGCGGGAACTCGACCAAAATTTCTATTTTTTTTTTTTAATCTCAGTCGTTGGATGTCCAACGGCTCATCTGAATCGAGCAAGTAGGGAATGGAGGAGGGTCCTCAAGGAGAGGATCTGAACTCCCCTACTGGTGTCACCCTCAGGACCCCCGTCCACTATGATTGGCCAGATTTTTCCCCCTCTGTTTTTTTTTTTTTTTTTTTTTGGCCAACCCCACGTGTGTGTGTGTGTGGGGTCTCAATCAAGTCCCTTCATTTGATTTTCAAATCAGGATTTGGATAAAATAATTATAATTCTTTTTTAATTTATAATCAAACAAATTTAAAAAAATTGGTCAAATAATCAAACAAATTAAAATAATTATAATTCCTTTTTAATTTATAATCAAACAAATTAAAAAGAATTGGCCAAATAATCAAACAAATTAAAATAATTATAATTCTTTTTTAATTCAACCACTAGCCACTTGTATATATCAAACGAAATTTTTAAAATTTAATTCTAAAATCCATAATTAAACTCTTTTCAAAATTTTATTTTGTTAAAAAAAATTCAATTTATTTTGTTCTTAATTTTTTTTTGAAGAAAAGTATTTTTATTTTTTATTTTAAAAAATATATATATTTTTTTTAAGTATTGGTCAAATAATTTGTTAGGATTTAGATATATACAAGAATCCAATTTTTTTTTTTTGAATTTAAAAAAAATATTTAAAATAAAAATTAAAAACTATTTAAAAAAAATTTAAAATATATTTTTTTAAATATTTAAATATTTTAAAAAATACAACATACAAATGTAATAAATACAGCCCATATTAAAAAAAATATTTACTATAAAAAATATTTACCCTAAAAAATAAAAATAAGAAAATTTTAAAATATTAAAAAAAAATAAATCCAAAACAATTTAAAAATAAAATTCAAAATTTTTTTCAAAACTCATAAGTAAATAAATTTTCTCTTTTCAAATCTCATTTGAAAAACTTATATTTTAAAATACTGCAAGCTACAGTAAAGTACTAGATGCACAAAAATCACGCTCGACGGGCGCTCGATACACGCTCGAGCGTGAGACACCTGCCCTTGCTCGAGCATGAACTTTCTCGCTCGAGCGGACTGTAAACACATGCAAAGTACTGGATACACCCATTTCACGCTCGAGCGCCACTTTCCTCGCTCGAGCGGACGACATGAACACATGGCTTACGCTCGAGCGTAGAACTCCTCGCTCGAGCATGAGTCCAAAATCTGGAATTTCCAGATTTGAACCTCAAGCTCAAAACTCAATTCCAATGCATCAAATTCGATCCTTTTGGGCTAATTTTCTGAAAAACACATGTAAACTCATAGTATAACATGTTTTGAAGATCAATTTGAGAAATCAAAACCCAAAGGTAGTTCAATTAAAACACAATCTTCAAATAAACTTCAAGAACATAATTTACATGTAACATGCATGCGTTCCAATGAATTCAAAGCTTCAAAGCAAGCTCAATTGAGTCTAAACATGGTGAATTCATGGACTATAACAAAAATGTGGACATGCATGCAAGAATTTCCTTGAAAACAACCTCAAACTTCAAGAGATGCACATGCGTACATGAAATAAGTTTCAATCCAACAATCTAAACCAAAACTTGACTTCAAAACTCTAATCTTCCAAGAGCTATGCAAGAACTAACTTCAATTCACAAATGAGAGGATGAAATCCTTACCTAGGTTCCTCAATTACAAGTCTAGAGGCTCAAATATGCACTTATCCTTCAAATTTTCCAATTCTCTAAGCAATTCTCTAGATTAAGCCAAGTTTCTCTACCCCTCTCTCCCTCATTCGGTTTTCCTCTCAAAATGGCTGAAGAAGAGTGCTAGAAATAAACTCAATGTGTTTATGAAGTGGGCCACTAAGTGGTATAATGGTGAATAAGGCCAACTATTGTAATTTAGCTTATTTAATCTAATTTAAACATACCAAATCACATTTCAATTAAATATACCAAAAAATCACATGAATTCCACTTAGCATAAAACATTAATCAATTTCAGATTCGGCTGCCGATAAAGCCTTCAATTTGCAATTTAAACATAAAACACGAACAGATCATTTAACAGTCAAACAGATAGAAATGCATTTAACTAACACACTCAATCAATCAGTTCAGATTTTCAGTCAATTCAATTACTTATCATGATCAGTCTCAGTTTAGCAGTAATCAGTGGTGTTATTAGTAAACAGTAGTGAGGGTTGTCACATGGAGGAAGTTTACTTGGTGTAATTCCCAAGATAGGGCGAAATGGAGTAGACTGGACAGATTTTTACTCAATCGCGAGTGGGTACAGAATTTTAATTTTAAACTTTGGGGCCTACCTAGATTGTTATCTGATCACAGTCCTATTATATTAATGGAGGATGATAAGGATTGGGGACCAAAACCTTTTAGGTTCCTCAATGCTTGGTTACTTCATCCTAATTTCCTATCCTTTGTACAACATAGTTGGTCTGGGCTTGTAGTGAAGGGTTAGGCAGGGTTTAAATGCTTCATGAAATTTAAAGCCCTGAAGCAAGCTTTAAAACAGTGGAATGTGGAGGTATTTGAGAAGGTGGAAAATAAGCTTAAGTGTGTTGAAGAAGAAGCTCATGCCCTTGATTTGCTTGCTGAGGACAGACCTTTGCTACCTGCATAAATACTTAGAAGAAAAGAAGTGAGGGGAGATATTTGGAGGCTTAGTAAAATGTTGGAATGGATTTGGTTACAGAAATCCAGAGTGAATTGGGCACTTAAAAGGGATAAAAATACAAGGTACTTTCACATTATGGCATGTAGCAGGAATAGTAGGAATTCTTTGTGCTCCATTGTTGTGAATGGTACAATGATGGAGGACCCTATGGAAATTAAAGCTGAGGTGAAGGCCCACTTTCTAAAGCATTTCTCTGAGGATTGGAAGGTCAGACCTAAATTATCTAGGCGCTTTAAGAACATTAGAGGATCACAAGTTGTTGAACAATTGGAGGCAGAGTTTACTGAAGAGGAAATTAGTTATGTCATCAAGACTTGTCATGGGAATAAGGCACCTGGACCTGATGGATTCAATATGGCTTTTTTCAAGAAATGTTGGAAAATTGTGAAATCTGATGTGATACATTTTATGAAGGAATTTCATCAAAATGAAAGTTTAGTGGGTGGGATCAATAGCTCTTTCATTGCTTTAATTCCTAAAAATGATAGTCCCTCTTGTTTGGAAGAGTATAGGCCTATTAGTCTGATTTGTTCTATGTATAAAATTCTAGCAAAAGTGTTATCAAATAGGATGAAAAAGGTGATGCCCAAGATCATTAGTGAGGTTCAGTCAGCTTTTCTGGGTGGTCAGAATATTATGGATGGGATTCTTATAGCTAATGAGATTGTTGATGGATGGAAAAGATCCAATAAGAAAGGTTTGGTTCTCAAATTGGATTTTGAAAAGGCTTATGACTCAATCAATTGGGAGTTTCTCTTTAACATGCTCTCAAACTTTGGTTTCGGATCTAGATGGGTGAGTTGGATGAAAGCTTGTGTATCCTCTACTAAGATCTCTATTTTGGTTAATGGGTCACAAACACCTGAATTTTGCCCACAAAGAGGTCTTTGTCAAGGTGATCCATTGTCACCGTTTTTATTCAACATTGTAGCAGAGGGTCTCAATATATTACTGAGTAGGGCAAAAGAGTTAAACTTAATCACTGGGGTAGAGGTGGGGTCAAATGGCTTAAAAGTAACTCATTTACAATTTGCGGATGACACTATTTTGTTTTGTGAAGTTAAGAAGGAGGAAGTTTGTAATATT